ACATACACACATACACACATACAGACAGACAGACAGACAGACCGACAGACCGACAGACAGACATTCAGGAAAGCAGGCAGGCAGGCAAACAGACAGACAGTCGGACACACAGACAGACAAACAAAGAAACAAACAAACAAACAAACAGACAAAGAGACGGGCAGACAGGCAGACAGACAAACAAACAGACAAAGAGACGGGCAGACGGAAAAAACAAACATACAGACAATCACAGAACAACTAAAAACAAACAACCATATGTTACATTCCGTACATGCATACATATACGTGTACATACACACCCTAACCCCTCAAGCCTCAACATTCTCAAACATTCTCTCGAACTTAAACCATACCCTCTTAACCCTCAAACCCTAAACCCTCAACCCTAAACCCTAACTAAACCCCAAACCCTAAACCCTAAACCCATTCTCAGGCTTCCACCCGGCACCCCGCGATCTCGCCGGCGGAGACGATCGCCTGCAGTCGGATGGCGACCAACCCTACTTGGAGGGTCGGGGGACTTAGTAAGTAGGTAATAAGGGCAAGGTTTAGGGTTTAGGGTTTAGGGTTTAGGGTTTAGGGTTTAGGGTTTAGGGTTTAGGGCTTAGGGCTTAGGGTTTAGGGTTTAGGGGGACTTAGTTCTTAGGGATCCTAATTGGGGGTATGGTACTTATACGTCTATTATAATAACTAGTTACTAAGTCCCCCGACCCTCCAAGTAGGGTGGAGGCTTTTACTGAAGGGTTTAAATTAGGGTTTTAGGGCTTGGGTTGTTATTTGAAGCTTCAGGGCTCTGGGTTTCAGGCTTTCTTTGCGGGTTTTACAGTTTGCGGTTTGGGGTTTATGTCAAGGCTTGGGGGGTTTATTCAATTGAATCGATGGATATGCCTTGTACCCCTACACTATCATGACTTTCTTCTACAGCTGTCAGACCATAACAGAACCTAGCTCTTTGGGTGGATCCCAGAAAACTCCATCGTATACATGGGGCATTGCAAACCTCTAGGCTGGTAGGATGGTACAGGCAGAACTAGTTGTTGTAGGGCCATGAGGAAAAAGCTCAGAAGGTGTCCTAAGAGTTGTGGTACTACTGGGGCTGAATGATCGAAACAAGAACAAGGTTCTGTCATTTGTCAACTTTGCCTTTTGCACCAAAGCGAAACCCCGAAGGAATAGTAGGATTGTTCGGGCGACTATGTTACGCTGTAAACCGAAAATAGCTCCCAGCACATTGCCGCCTGGCGCTGTCGAAGCGATGCATCATTCGGGACGGTGACGACGAGATCTCGGACGGACTTGCCATCAGCAGAGTCCTGCCATCAATACCCTACGGCCATCAATACCCTACGAGGTGTGATATATTGTGCTGAAGGAAAGACAGATTCACCCTAAACCCCAAACCCTGAACCCTAAACCCTAAACCCTGAACCCTAGGTCGTGGTTGAAGGCATTGGTGCTGAGTCTTTTTCCACTACTTGGGGGTTTTCTGCTTTGGGATCTCGGTCCCGGTGTGATTTCTTTATGTTTATGCATATTTTCTGTATCATATGTGTAGATGTATGCGTATATTTAGGATTTAAGGTTTAGGGTCTACGGTTTAGGGGATATATATATATATATGTATATATATATATATATATATATATAGGGCTCAGAACACCGACAGCGGATAGCTAGAGCCCCAGGCGTAGGTCTCCTACGTCGACCCAGCCATTGCGCTTC